GAGAGGAGGAGTGCGGACAGAGGCTGCATGTGGAAACAATGCAGCAATCCTCTGGACAAAGCAAGAGTTTTTCACAACAGCCTCAAACTGCAACCAGAGGCAGCTTGGGAATCAACTTGGAAACCACAACAGATGTTGTCCTTAACGACACGATCGTACGTGAGATCCCTAGCAATGCCGTCGAGCCAAGGATTAGTTTAAATGGCAGAATGAAAGGACTTTGAGTGGGACGTTCTTCTGCTGGTGTTAAGGGACTACTAATTGTTCCTAAGGTTGTCGATGCGGACTATGCGGACCAGATTCATATTATGGTCCATACCCTTTGTCCTCCTTTGTTTGTTCCAAAAGGCAGTAAGATAGCGCAGGTCCTAGAGATGGGCAGCTCAATTGACCATTCTTTGCTGCAGGGTGACGACCTTCCCATCGCTGTCATAGGGCCCCAACAGAAATAATGACCAGCAAACACACAGCCCATCTCTGTGTGTCCTTCAGTAGCAGAACAGCTCAGCCTGCAGCTCTGCAGGCACAGACCAGCCTGTGCTCAAAGCCCGTGTCTTCCTACTCGATGATTCTTCCAGAAAGTCAGCTCATAGTCACCTTTCAAAGAAAACGAAATTGGTGGTGAGGAGGAGGGAGAAGGAAAGAAAGAAATTTCTGGAAGAAAGGGAAAGTGTAGGCCTGCAATGAAGAAAGGACGGAGCAGAGTCCCTTTCCCTGGTGCAAAGCTGTGCAGCCGGGAGGAAACCCCTGACTGTGGTGCTGGGCTGCACACCCAGGCCGGAGCTCAGACTGAGAGAGCAGGAACTGGGCAGAGCTCTGTCTCCTTGTGTCCCCCCTGTGTGCGTGCTGCGACTTCCTCGTGTCCCTGCCGCCCTCCCAGACTGACAGCAGCTCGGCGTCCGCCCGCCCCGCTCCCTGCAGACCAACAGCTCTGGGATGGGCACTGGTGAGCAGTCGCCCAACCCACCGCTAACCTGCCTTTCCAACGAACCTGTGTGGGTTGACCAGTGGCCCATGACAGAAGAGCGACTGCAAATAACAAGGCAATTGCTAGCAGAGCAACTCGCTGCAGGCCACATCAAGCCTTCAGTCAGCCCATGGAATACCCCCATTTTCGTTATTCCGAAAAAGAGCAGTAAATGGCTCCTCTTACACGACCTAACGTAAGATTTATGAGCAAATGCAACCCATGGCAACCGTACAACCTGGAATGCCATCACCTGCTATGCTTCCGTCGGGTTGGCACGTAATCATTGTTGACCTAAAAGACTGCTTTTTCACTATGGGGCAGCAGGGCCGGGGCCGAGCCTGGGGAGCTGGGTGAGGGGAAGGCTGTGGATGTTCTCTGCCTGGACTGCAATGAGGCCTCTGGCACTGTTCCCCTCAGCATCCTCCTGCAGAAACCGGCTGCCCGTGGTGTGGGTGGGCGCACACTGCGCTGGGTGAAGAACCGGCTGATGGCCGAGCAGAGCGCGAGGGTGGATGGAGTTAACCCCAGCTGGGGGCCGGGCACGAGCGGCGTTCCCCAGGGCTCGGCTCTGGGACCGGTCTGGTTTAGTGTCTTTATCCATGATCTGGGTGAGGGGATCGAGCGCCCCCTCAGCCAGTTTGCAGATGACACGAATCAGGGCAGCAGTGTCGGCCTGCCTGAGGGCAGGGAGGCTCTGCAGAGGGGTCTGGACAGGCTGGATCCATGGGCCGAGGTCAGCTCTGTGAGGTTCACCAAGGCCACGTGCCGGGTCCTGCACTTGGGTCACAACAACCCCATGCAATGGACGAGAGGAAGTGGCCTCAAGTTGAGGTTTAGATTGGATATTAGGAACAATTTCTTCACTGAAAGAGTGGTCAGGCATTGGCACAGGCTGCCCAGGGCAGTGGTGGAGTCACCATCCCTGGAGGTGTTCAGGGTGGGTGTGCAGACGGGGTGCCCAGGGCTGTCCTTCAGAGCAGGATCCCTGCACCCCAGGGGCTGTATGCCAGGGCAGGGAATCTGCTCCCTGCCAGGGTAAGCACTCAGCCTGCCTGGGGAGATCCCTATGGTTCTGTGGGGAGAAGCTGCAGGTGGAAGGATTGACCCCTGGCAGGACAGGGTCCTTCAGCTGTGGAGAGGGTGCTGCATGGGTCAGGGATGCTCACAGAGCCAGCTCATGCCCAGGTCATTTCCAAAGGGACTTTTCAGGAGTATGTTCAGTGCAGGGGATTCCTGCCTGAGTCTGTGCTTTCTTGAGTCTGCGCTTCCATTTTTCTCCGGCTCAGCTTGGCTGCAATGGAAACCCAAGTGTGCAGGTCAGAACAGGGGCTGAGAGTCTTCAGCCATCACATTGAGGTTTGCTAGGAACCTCAGCAAGTGCCTTTACCCCCAGCAGCCTGCAGATAAAAACAACATCATCTTTCCATTTTCACCAGGATTTGTGTGACCTGTTCTTTCAGCCCTGCACACACACAGTGGTTGCAGGGCAGAGCTGTGCCCACAGGGACTGGGATGGGGTCTGTGAGCACGGGCAGGGAAGAATCACGGGGCCAAAGAAACAAGACCCAGCAGGGACAGCTCCAGGTAGCGGAGAAGTGGGTAGGGAAGGAGGGAAATGCTAATGGAAATTCTGTTGCGGGGGAGACCTGGGCACCTCCTGGCCATGCCTTGCAGGGCAGACTCCTTCCCAGAGTGACACACCTCCAGTCTCCTCTCCCACCTAGCACAACCTTTAGCCCGTGGGGTCTAGGTTAGTAGTCACCTCCTTATCGGGCACACCAGCAGAAGAATTGAAGTGCATCTCTCCTGCCATGTGCCCATTTCCCACTGACCAAGGCCCAAGGGCGACTGCCCTACATAGTTGATGTCTGGGGGTGGTGTGCAGAGCTGGGTAAGGGAAATATTTCCTGAGTGCCCACCTATGTCTCTCATATCTTTGAACACTCCTGGAATTGCTGTCAGGCTCTCTGGGAATGGGAGTTTCAGCTGCCAAGTCAGGCACAGACGCTGTGGGTCCTCCTATGCAGAAGTGCCCACAGCAGTGAGGTGTGCCAGATTTCCTCTAACCTGTGAAGCTCTGGGCAATGCAGTCCAGGAAGCTGGACTCTCCTTTAATAAGCTGCCATGGTTAGGACCCTTGGCTGTCTTCTTGGGGTGTCCATTCAAGTGGCATGCAACTTCCAGGGAACACTATGAGCCATGTGAGTCCTTGGCTAGAAGTGGGGAACGGACATTTTGAAAAAGGATGAGTCATTTAATTGTCTCCAGTAGATCTTTCTGCTTTTAGCAGTGTCTGCTTCCTTTTAGGGGTAATAAGAGAGTATAATCGCTCTTGATCTTAGAAACAGTCAAGTCCAGGGCAGCTGGGAACAAGACAGAGGGAGACACCTCCTTCCCTATTGTGCACTAAGCCACAGGCGATCCTTTTCCTGCTAGGACTCGCTTTGTTCTCCCTGAGTACAGTAGAAAACCCTCTCCAAATTCCTTTTGCCATCCCCACTCCTTAGCACACCCTTTCCAAATTCCTTTTGCCATCCCCATTCCCTAGGACTGGGAGAGCAGACACTGACAAGGCCTTCTGCATTAGGAGCAGATCATAGAATCATAGAATCATAGAATCATAGAAAGTTTTGGGTTGGAAACGAGGAGCAACAAGCAGACTCTAACAAACAGAGCAATCATATAGAAATAACCTGAATAGAGGGAAGAGTATATGAGTGGTTACCACGAGGTACTTGTCACCGATACCATCTGTGATGTTTTGTACGATCTGTAAGCCTCGGGTTTTATGTAATTGTTACACTTGCCAACAATAGCAGCGGTGTCGAATATCGCTTGCGAAGCATCGGTGTAATCAGTGCCTTTAATAGGGCGCAGCGTAGCTC